TTTATTACTTATGTCAATATTTCCATCATCCTTTCTATTTGTTGTTGCCATTCTTTTTTTTTTTGGATCAGGTTATTGTTGCTTCAGACTATTATTATTATATCAGAATGGAATTGACAGTTCATTTTTCATATTCATGTTTTATGATGAATAATATCAGGATTGTCCTAAAGCTAGTTCAGACGACAACAACAGGGTGCAACAATATATCAAATTGACAAGAAAAAGTATGAAAATGGCAGATTAATGAAAATAAATGCCAGGTTGTTGAATAATTCGACAATGGCTAAGAGTTAATGGTAAAAAGTGATTATTTTTATTTTCAATAAAAACAAATGATTGGGCACTTACCCCATACCCCTTTTCTGTTTCAGGTAGTAGGTTTCTGAGATAGATTATTAAGGAAGTGTAACGCATGAATTGTGTGATCAAAGACCAAATAGAGACGCCTACCAATGGCAATTAACAAGGGCTTAGAAATGACACTGAAGAAGGTGGGGGTATTTTTAGGATTTTATGAGAACCCTATCAAAATGAAGAAATTTCTGTTAAAATAGGTCCTACCAATCCTCATTCTGGCATTGCATCTGCAAATTAAACATAAAATAAGCTTCACTGATACTTTCTGATTTGGCTTGTCAGCATCAATTTTTTGAGTAGGGAGGTGGGAGAAGGGGGAATAGTTTTTTTGTGAATTGTGAATAATTTGTATAATTTGGTTGATGAAGAGGGAGAAAAGAGGACCTTAAAGTGAGGGACATATCACGTGTCTGCCATTTTTATTCGTTTTCTGGACGAATTAGACAAAACAAAACAGGTTTATTTTTGAAAAATGAAAAAAAAAATAGAGACCGTCCTCTGAAAAATCAAGCAGATTGTCAGCCTCTTGATGAGGCCCAAAATGCCACCTTTTTTTACTCCTCCGACCAATCAACTGCAGCTGATTTTTCACTGCTCCAAAATACAGACTAAATATGTCAAGGATTCAAGGATTGATATCATATATGCAACCCAGATAAAACAATACCTGCTCTACAATGTATTCAAAAACCATAATTATCTTTTTGACTAATTATAATGTTCATAAAACCATACAAAAAAGTTTAACTTTTTCCATTGCAAATATTTACATTTGCATACTTTACATTTAATGAAGTTAAGAACTATGTTGAAGCTTTTTTTAAAGCAAATCATTTACATAATAATTGGAAGAGCTCTATCTAGGTTGATGCATTACTTATTAAAGTTAAAAAATCTAGAATTTGTTTATAAGCAAAGTTTATTGAACTTTTGTAGTTCAGAAAATTTAAAAACTTTTTGTCGAAGATTTTTTAAGACTTTTCTAAAGATTTTTCCAATACAAAGTTTTATTTTTACAAAATTTCCAATCTCCAAAGAATCTGAGTTTTTGCATTAAAAATTTCCAAGAATCATGTCCTTTCAGATATTTTTTGTTGACTAAGAAAAATAAAAAATACTTGAAATTGTTGCTAGCCAAAAATGTTTGATTTTTAAATTAAATTTAAAAAAAAAAGTATCAAATTTCTCTAGAAAAGGTTTATAGGAACATCAAGGCTTAATAGAAAATTTCAAGGATTTTCAAACCTACAGTAAAAAGTATTAAGACACAGTTTTCTAAGAAGTCCAGAATCTATTTTAAAATCATGATCTCCTACTTGCTACAAGGAAACCTTACCATCAGCAACGATTAATCTCATTCTCAACTAACTCAACCAGAAGCATTACAAACAGAATTGGATATTTTTTTAAATAATCGCATTAAATTTTATGATGCAGTGAAAATAAATCCCTATTGGATATCCCAACAATAGATGACGATAACAATAACACAAGTTTATTTTTCCTCTCTTTTTTTTCATCATCAACAATGCGAGAGAAAATATTTTTATCCATGTTCAGATTTTTTTTGTGTTTGTTACTACTGATGTTATTTCCCATTCTGTAATTTGTTATCTTTTGCTGGATAAATTTCATTGTTTTTTTTTTGTGATTTAAAAAAAATTATTCAGGTGAATATGTCATTGTGTCCATAACAATTGACATGCATATTGCATTGTTTGAGAAAGTTTTGTGGAGTTTAGTCATTGTAGCTAGAACTTCAAGGGTTGGAAAAAAAATTAATTTACATTGAAAACCTTTCAGCATATTGAAATATTTTCTGTACCAACTTTTGCTTAAGACATAGACTTATCAGGACCCAATGTTAGCAAAGAGAACAGAGTCCGTTGCAAACAAAAAAAATTAAAATTATATTTCGGTATTTATTATCGGTATTTTTTTAAAATTTCAAAATAAGAAAGTCCATTACCTTTTATTTTTTATTAAACTAGCTGTTTTTTTAAAGCATAAACATTTAAGGAATGCAATTTCATCACAGTGATTATCTTAATCATAAAAACTAGTAGGAATGTTCACTAAAATTACAAATTACTCGAAAAATAATAATTCACAACGATTTTTTTTTAAAAAAAAGAACTTCGAAGATTCGATTTTCGAAAAATAAGAACCTCAAAAATTCGAAGTTCGAATAATAAGAACTCAAAAATTTCTGTTTGCTAGCATTGGATCAGGACATTATTAGCTTTATTACGGACATTGGAATTCTATCAAAGGGGACTTGGAATGGTACAACAGATCATCGATCGCAGTGCCGCTTTTGCTCTAAGCAAAACCCTACTTTACATTCTATTCTATTTTTTGCTTAAGAGGGGTGAGGAGGGGGTACGGGGGGTGAATTATCTCTCAATCAACTTCCACCTCCTAGAAACGTCACTGCAAATTAGTCATAAACCTCCCTAATCCCATTCTCTTGTTTGAGCAAGTCTTTAACAAAATTGGATTTAAGATGTTGATGAAAATGCATAAGCACAGCCAAACAAGTGGGTCTAATTCTAGTTTTATGTTTTTTTGGTTGGATCTGATAATTTATGTGTTCACGTGACAGAGCTCACTTTGTCGGTTTGATTGTTTCGCATCCAATCACAGGGAGATGATCGAGATTCCCTCAAAAATGCTCCGTATTATGTTTGGTATTATCATGTTACCTTCTAGTATTTAAGATATGTGTTGTTACAGGGGGAGGAAATCTGAAAAGTTGCTGAAAAGCACTCCAAATCCATCATGTTATCATCAATTCTACCCTTGAATGTGCTTATAAAATAGATCATTTCAAATTCAAATCATAATAATTATCACAATTATGAGCTCGCGATTGTCATAACAACTGTATGTTATACAAATTGTCTGAAAAACATAACAACATCAACATGAGATAACAGTAGATTATTAATCATTAAATGTACACAAATATAAACCATGTTAAAAAGTTTTAAGCCTAATTAAGCTCAAATAAACTTTTAATGAATGCACGGAAGAAATATTATAATTAATAACAACATTTATTAATATAGTTGTACAATTTTTTTTATGGTGAATATGAAACTGTAACAAATTGTGCTTCAATAAAGTTCTGTTGGACTAATTGAGGATTTTTATAGGACGCATAGTTCTAGTTGGCATATTTTTTGGTCTTAAAGGTGTTTATTAACTTGTTAAATTCAGGAAATACAAGTTAATATTTTGTGGAACTATTCATTGCCAAAAATAATGTTTTAACTACATTATTGTAATGTCGTGGGAATTGTGCGAATCCTTGTCACGCTCTGGTTGGTTTCTACGGCTTTTTAAGGCAGTCTATCCTAAAATCTATAGGTTAACCTATATTCTTCTTATTTTAACTTTCAATCTTCAAAAACTAACCTCAAAAATATTAAAATTCAATTCTTCATCTCCCAAAATTTCAACAATACCAAAATGCCTCAAAACAAAATTTTAATATCATTAAAATATGAAAATTCAGTCCAAAACATTCCCATATTAATCATATGATTGAGTATGATTACACTTTCATATCGCTTATTGATAAATGTATATTATTTAAATAATGTGAATTTTATTGAAAATTTAATTAAGATTTAATATTGAAACACGCCTACATTATTTTTATTTTATTATAAAATTTTGTGATCACTTCAAAAATTTGATTTTTTATTTTTTTTAATTTAAAGGGTTTTTTTTATTTGCGAAAGCCATTTATTGAGTATATAAGCATGTTTATTCAAGTAATTAATAATTCATGATCTCTGATTGAAATAAAATTTTAATTAAATTATGACCTTTTTTATTCAAATATTTATTGTACAATATCGCATTTCTCTCCCTGATTTGTGGTTGTAACAGCAATCATTGTCTCTCATTTCCATTTTTAAACCAAAGTTTCGTGGCTTTCCTATTATTAAAAATAATCTCTTATTTTTAATTGAAAGCCACAAAAACGCCACTTGACGTTCTGATTTTTCACAATGACAATAAAATTGCTAAATCACTTGATATCAGGAAGTTTAATCACATTTTGTCATGTTGTTTATGCCTTCAATGTTTGAGTATCTTTCTACCGTTCATCTTTAGCAACAACCCTCAATTACGCCTCCACGAGTTTAGATTGTGTCATTGAATTTTTTGTCGAATAACTTTGATAATAATCGTTAAAATTGATTTTATTCTCTTTACAAACAATGAACTTCAAATTGAGTTGTTTGAGGATATTTTTGGAATAATAAGGAAGAGGATCTCCTCCCTAGTGCTACTTTGAGATTTTGGAATTATGACAAATTTCTTGTCAATTTTTTGTTGCAAATTAAAATTAAGTTTTAGAAATGTTGAACCGTCAAGACTATTTTGAGGATCAAACAATCAATTTATTCATCTTAAATTGTGCAACAGTGTTACTAAACCTTTAAGCGCTACAATTTTGTTCTTAATATTAGTAATTCCTAAATCTATATTATGAATGCTAGCTCAGTGTGTAGCGCATAATCTTCACAAATCAGTTGTGTGTCCAATAGCCAATTAAAAACTGTTTTTTCAATCTTAGAACTAGGGTTCATGTCGGCTCTGGTTCCAATTTTCAGTAGGTCACAATGTCTTCAGGTCCGTTCCAGTAAAAGCCCTCCATTTTGAATTTACGGCTCTCGTATCTTTCCTATTCTGTCTACATAATTATGGAACTCTTAAATTGATAATTCTTATACTGCTGCATCCAAGAAGCCGAAATATCTAAACTTCTGAAAAATCACTAGGCTGGTGGTAGGATTTGAACCCAGGAGTTCAAATTCAACACCAACTTTTGTGACCTGTACCTTGCCAACTGAGCTATCAAGGCACTTTTGCTTCTTTTAAATAGTTGGCTCAATCATTTACTAACCAGTCAATCACATGACTAAGAAAAGAGAGCATTTTAACAATGTTTGTTCCTCAATAAACCAGTTTTATAATCTAATCAACTAACATTACAAAGTTTCAATAGTTTTTGTAGAGTAAACATTAATTAATTATATAATAACAGCCATTAACAGCTTTAACAACTCTCAATCCCTCCCAATCGTCCTTAATCGAATGGTGAAAATCTCTTTGGAATATCCTCCACAATTCCATATTGAAAAACAATTATACATTCGAATGAATAGACGATTGGGAATTTATGAGTGTATAAGGTTAAAGATTAACGTAGAATAAATTGCGTACAGGCAATAATATTGAGAATATTTTTCATTACAATAAATTTTCTTTCTATTTGTTAAAGGCTCGAAGAGAGTTGCTTGGCCACCACCACCAGACAGCTCTTTATATGCATCTGAACCTGTTGAATATCATCAGGAGCCTCAACAGCAGATTCAACCGCAATATCAAGCAATAAGTCAGCAACAGCAATCGCAGCCTGCTCAAAAACAACAGGTAATGTAAACCTTATATGTGTGTAGATTTAACTCGTATGTATGCAGATATTGTGCTATAAATTTTTATTTTTATGGTATCACATAAATTGCTGAGGTGTAAAGAAACAGCACAGAGGAAAAAAAATATATACTGAAAATGGGAATTACGATTGTGATAGTCGGTAGCCTTTAAGGAGAAAATTATGTACATATAACATATGTAAATGCGTCTATTTTGGTTTTGCTGGGATTTTTCTCTCTGTAACCACGAATGGATGAGAACATTTGATCTTGCATGATTCCCACAACTCGCATTATTCTTTCATAAAATGAATTTTCGTGTTTTCCTATTTCCTAAATCGTTTGAATGCGAGTTCTTGTGTCGATAAAGAAGAGGTTTGATCAACTTTGATTTTTTTGGGGTAAATAAGTTAAAAAGTTGATAATGAAAATCTCAGCTTTTTTGAATTTTGAAAGCTTTTATGAAAGATCAAAGCTTTTCGACTGTTCTGAGCTTATTGGAATGTCAAAACTTTTTGAAAGATTTACAGCATATAAACAAGTCAGAGCTTTGAAAACTCAAAGCTTTTTGACATGATAGAGCTTTTTGACATGATAGATCTTTTTGAAAGGTCAGAGATTAGTAACAGTTCGGAGCTTTTTGATGTTTGAAACTTTTTTGACAGTTAAAAGATTTGAGGGAGGTCAAAGCTTTTTTACCAGTCAGAACTTTTGACAAATCAGAGCTTTTTGAAAGTTCAGAGTTTTAAGGCAGGTCAGAGCTTTTAGACACGTTAAAACATTATGACAGGTTTAGAGCTTCTCGAAACTTTATAATTTTAAGACAGGCCAACGTTTTTTGAAGTCCAAAGCTTTTTGAAACAATAATACTTTTTGACAGATTAAAGCTTTTTGACAGATTAAAGCTTTTTGACAGATTGAAGCTTTTTGACAGATTAAAGCTTTTTTACAGATTAAAGCTTTTTAGACAGTAGAAAGCTTTTTGACAAGTTACACGGGTCAAAATATTTTACCATGTCATTTCAATCGGTTAGAACATTCTGAAAAGTAAGAGTTTTTTTTGTCAGATTAGAGATTTTTTTGAAAGTTTTGAGCTTTTGAAAATAATAACTTAAAGCTCCACACTTTTACCTTCACTAGAATTCTAATAAACGATTCTGATCTACAAAATCACAACAAAAAGTAAAATCAAGTCCAATTTCAATTTTGAGGTTAACTTCTTAATAAAGCAAAACATACGGTTATTGCGTTGTGAATAAACGATTTAATCAGGATAATAACGACCATAAACGTGCAACTTATTTCTCATCACCAAAGCTTCAAAGAGAAAATTATTTTTCTACTGCTTTGCTCCTTCCTCGCTCTGCTCACTGCTTACAAGATTAAATATGAATTTGTAATGTGTATTCATCTACCTTCTGCTGCATTGTATTCTTCATCTTGCTCAGTTGAACTGTAATTTGTTTTCATTTTCTTCATTTTTTCCACCTTATACTTACTCACATATGCTCATATTATGTACGTGCATGCATCTTTCTTCATTTTTTTGGATGGTCTTTTTTTTTTCTTTTAAAGATGAACATTAACCGGAAATATTGTAATAAGGTTGGGGAAGGTAAATTTAATAATAACATTGACTACCTCAATTTGTGCCACTTGACATGTGAAAGAATTTTTCGATTAAATAATAAATTGATTTTTATGGATATTGAGGTTTGGTGGAAAATTACCTCAAAATTGTGATTTAATGAAGTTAGAGATTGAAATTGGTTGAATATTTTCAAAACTTGGGGTTTGGGGGTGAAAAATGATTAGATTCCTTGTTAATTTAAGTACTAGAGTGTCCTGTAAGCATTTGAACACATGTAAAGCCGGTTTAAAGCAATAAACTTATAGAACTGTTACTAAAGCAGCCATAGTTATGCTGATAATGTTCCTCATTGTATGATAAAATATTCTGGATACACCCAATCGCAAACGATTCACAATAGCCCCCCAAAATTACCTCCAACCATACGATAATATGAAAATAATTGAGGAGTACACAACCTCATCATTTATTCGATTTTTAATTCAATATGATGTCATAAAAAAAAGAAACTCCCAATCGAGTGTCAAAAAGTGCTAAAGAACATCAGGATAATAAAGTTGTTATATCTTTCCCCATTATCATAATTGATCAATGATTTAATTTATTGACGCCTTATCTGATATTTCATTTTACAACAAAAATCATCATTATTTAACAATGTCAATGTGACAGCGGAATAATGAAAGAATGGATGAAATAAAAAATAAATATATATTTTTAAAAAATTACTCTACTGATAATGTTTTTGACATTAAATGAGGCCTATCAATTGCAATCACCCATAAAAATGAGAACTTCCTTCCATCATCATTCACAACCAACCCAACAGCTCCCTCTCCTATGAAGTTTTTTGTTGTAGCTGTTATATGTGGAGGTGGATGTGTGCTCACTTTGGGTGCATTGGATGGAAATTAAGAGTGTGGATTGTGCTTTTAAATATTGTGGTTTGTAATCGAGAAGGTTCTTCAAATGGACACTTCTAAATGCCTCTTGTGTCTAATTTGATAGCTTCAATGTCTTCTGACTTACTCTGAACTTATCGTAGGCTATATTATTATATTCACACCGTTTTCACGTGTGAATCTATTGGTTTTGTTCAGATTGAAAAATCAGTTTTTCGCATTTTGTGAGAAAACAAAGCAAAATTGGTTATAAAAGGGCAAGAAGAAAAGTTTGTGCCTGAAATTTTACATCATTTTCAAAAAACAGATTTCAAATTGGTTGTGGCATTGCTGAGAAAATCGCAAAATACGCTTTCTGTAAGCAAACAAGCAAGCAAGCAAGCAAGCAAGCAAGCAAGTTAATCAGCAAGAAATCTCAATAACGAGACATCGTAGAGACTTCTAGTTTTTTACATTTGATCCGTGCTACTCTATAAAAGAGCTGTATTGTTTTTGGGCAAGGTAGGAACAGCCGTTGCTTCAGAAATGGCAAAAAACTTTCCTTTCTTACGAATTTTTTAAAACAAAAGTTGACTGTGATTTTTATAAAATTCAACTTTGGATGAAAATTTTTTTTAAAAAACTTTTAAAGAATATTTGGCATATTCGTCAAGCTTTATACCTTCAAACTTATGCTGAGTGTAGCTCAGCTGACTCGATAGCTTTATATCTTCAAACTTATGCTGAGCGTAGCTCAGCTTACGCGATAGCTTTATAACTTCAACTTATGCTGATCGAAGCTCCACTGCCTCTCTAATTTCATATCTTCAAACTTATGCTGAGCGTAGCTCAGCTGACACTCTAGCTTTATATCTTTAAACTTATGCTGAGCGAAGCTCCACTGCCTCTCTAGCTTCATATCTTCAAACTTATGCTGAGCGTAGCTCAGCTGACACTCTAGCTTTATATCTTCAAAATTATGCTGAGCGTAGCTCAGCTTACGCGATAGCTTTATAACTTCAAACTTATGCTGAGCGAAGCTCAGCTGCCTCTCTAGCTTCATATCTTCAAACTTATGCTGAGCGTAGCTCAGCTTACGCGATAGCTTTATAACTTCAACTTATGCTGATCGAAGCTCCACTGCCTCTCTAATTTCATATCTTCAAACTTATGCTGAGCGTAGCTCAGCTGACACTCTAGCTTTATATCTTTAAACTTATGCTGAGCGAAGCTCCACTGCCTCTCTAGCTTCATATCTTCAAACTTATGCTGAGCGTAGCTCAGCTGACACTCTAGCTTTATATCTTCAAAATTATGCTGAGCGTAGCTCAGCTTACGCGATAGCTTTATAACTTCAAACTTATGCTGAGCGAAGCTCAGCTGCCTCTCTAGCTTCATATCTTCAAACTTATGCTGAGCGTAGCTCAGCTTACGCGATAGCTTTATAACTTCAACTTATGCTGATCGAAGCTCCACTGCCTCTCTAATTTCATATCTTCAAACTTATGCTGAGCGTAGCTCAGCTGACACTCTAGCTTTATATCTTCAAAATTATGCTGAGCGAAGCTCAGCTGCCTCTCTAGCTTCATATCTTCAAACTTATGCTGAGCGTAGCTCAGCTTACGCGATAGCTTTATAACTTCAAACTTATGCTGAGCGAAGCTCAGCTTACGCGATAGCTTTATAACTTCAAACTTATGCTGAGCGAAGCTCAGCTGCCTCTCTAGCTTCATATCTTCAAACTTATGCTGAGCGTAGCTCAGCTTACGCGATAGCTTTATAACTTCAAACTTATGCTGAGCGAAGCTCAGCTGCCTCTCTAGCTTCATATCTTCAAACTTATGCTGAGCGTAGCTCAGCTTACGCGATAGCTTTATAACTTCAACTTATGCTGATCGAAGCTCCACTGCCTCTCTAATTTCATATCTTCAAACTTATGCTGAGCGTAGCTCAGCTGACACTCTAGCTTTATATCTTCAAAATTATGCTGAGCGAAGCTCAGCTGCCTCTCTAGCTTCATATCTTCAAACTTATGCTGAGCGTAGCTCAGCTTACGCGATAGCTTTATAACTTCAAACTTATGCTGAGCGAAGCTCAGCTTACGCGATAGCTTTATAACTTCAAACTTATGCTGAGCGAAGCTCAGCTGCCTCTCTAGCTTCATATCTTCAAACTTATGCTGAGCGTAGCTCAGCTTACGCGATAGCTTTATAACTTCAAACTTATGCTGAGCGAAGCTCAGCTTACGCGATAGCTTTATAACTTCAAACTTATGCTGAGCGAAGCTCAGCTGCCTCTCTAGCTTCATATCTTCAAACTTATGCTGAGCGTAGCTCAGCTTACGCGATAGCTTTATAACTTCAAACTTATGCTGAGCGAAGCTTAGTTGACTTATCAAGCTTCATACCTTCATACTTATGATGGGCAAATCTTGGTCTATTCATAAGACTTATGATAGTACGGTGTGAATATAATCCGCATTGGGTTTCTACCCGATACACTAGTTTAATGTCATGAGAATTATGCAAATTCTAG